TAAACTAAGGAATTAATCTGGGCCAGACATGATGGGTACATGCTTGTACTCTCAGTACTTGAGAGGATGAGGCAGGAGGACTGCCAGTTGAGCTATATAGCAATTTCCAGGCTAGTCTATTGTAGAAAAATCACCAAAAGAAAAAAGGAGTGGAGGAGTCAGTGGAATGTTAGCTAAGCAATAGCTTTGTGATTGCCAACTGTGCCTCTTCCCAACAATTGTCTAACCAAAGTTCAGTCTAGTTCAAATTAGTATATTTAAATTTTCACTTCATATACAGAGTTCAGTGCGAGTTTTTTTCCTTGTCACAACGTACCATTTGCACTACTATAAAGTAATTAGTCTCTAGTAATAAACCAAAGGTATAATGTACAGGACTTCTGCACTGAAAATTACAAAATGTCTTTGAGATAAACAGAAGGTAACAAACTAAACAGAGAAAGACTCCCAAGTTCATGGTTTAGACATCTCAGTAGCTGAGTGAATATTCCAACCAAAGGGACCTCTGTACATTCTTGTTTTCCAAATCACACTCTTAGCAAGCATGTGCACACATGTGAAAACTGGCAGGCCAACTCTAAAAGTATATGGGAATGTAAGGTAATTTTGAAGAGAAAATAAGAAACTACCATAATTAAATGTGACATTGGTGGAAGGATAAAATAATGTATCAAGAGAACATTCCAGAAATAAACTCACTTGTGGAGTTGCTGGCTAATGAAAAAGGCTCCAGTGGGACTGGGAATGTAGTTCAGTGATAGAGTGCCTGCCTAGGAATATAACACCCTGGGGTTCAAGTCCACAGCACCATGGCCGGGAAGAAAAGCTTCATGGAAATTCAGGTAGGAGGCACACTTTTTAAATAAATAGTGCTGGAGCAAATAACCAGTGTAGGAGAAAATCAGCCTTTGTTCTGACCTCATATGATGCACAACATTTTAAACCATTAGGGACTGGAAAGGTAAACTGAGGGCTCAGTAGTTAAGAGCATTTACTGCTCATCCAGAGGACCCCAGTGATCAGGGGCTAGAGTCAATTGCATATTGAGACTCTGCCTCAAACAAAACCAAAATAAAAAGACTATTTAGAATACCTTTATTCGTAAAAGTCAGTCCCTGGAAACAACCAAAATGTCCATTAAGAGGACAGTGGATAAGTAAACTGTAGAATACTCATACAACGTAATACTGCATAGCATTCAAAAAAAAATTGCTGATATACCCAACTACATGGAAGAATCTCGCAGTTAGTGAGAAAAGCCAAACATGAAGGAGTATGCTGCAGGGTTCCAGTAATAGGAAATTTATATCGCAGACAAGTGATCTAGGGAAGAACTGACTGGGAAGAGGCCCAAGGAGAACATTTAGGGTGATCAAAATGTTTTATACCTGGATCAGAAAATGAGTCTATAGATGGATTCTCAAGACTCATAGCTGATGAGATGGCTCAATAGATACAGGCGTCTGCTGCCAAGTTCAGTTTGCAGAGCCCACATAGTACGAGAGAGAGCTGACTCCCACAAACTGTCCTCTGACTTCCACCTGCATGCTGTAGTGCACGCAGATAAATTAATGCAATACAATAAATACAAATTTAAATTTAAAAGATCTGTGCATTTTACTAGGTTTGTAATTCTAACTAAGCTATAGACTTAAAGAGGTACAGCTGGCTTTAAGGAAAAATATCTCGTGCATCAAATTGTTCATATAAAATATTTTTTTTGTTTTTTTTTTTTTGTTTGTTTTTCGAGACAGGGTTTCTCTGTGTAGTCCTGGCTGGCCTGGAACTCACTCTGTAGACCAGGCTGGCCTGGAACTCAGAAATCCGCCTGCCTCTGCCTCCCAAGTACTGGGATTAAAGGCATGAGCCACCACTGCCAAGCCACAAAATATTTCAATGTCTCTAGTATTGTATAATTACTTAATGTGCTGTATAACTCAGTCTTCATAATAACCTGCCAGTAGCCTTATATGGTAGATAAATAATTGTTATCATCTCTTTCTTGCAGATATTGTAACTAATAGGTTTACATAGCACCAAACACACCAAAAGGTCTTTCAATATCATAAAAAGTGTCACCTGCAAAGAAACAGTACTTCAATATTTGTTTCAGTTTCAAAAGAATTTTTCCAGACTGGTATTAGCACATTGTATCAAAAACAAACTCAGGAATAGTGGAATGGCTCAGTCAGTAAAGTTCATTGTGGCCAGACCTAATCATCTAGGTTCCATTCCTGGGGCCATATGGTCGAAGTACAGAACCAACTCCCTCAAGTTCTCTCACTTCCGGATGTACAGTGGCATCTGTGCCCCTTCATTTTACACATACACACACACACACACACACTCACTCACACTCACTCTCATACACTCACACTCTCACTCACTCACTGGGATGTACCTACTTGCACACATTCTCTATGTATGTGTAGCCCTGGATGGCCTTGAAATCAGTTTCACCTGCTTCTGCTTCCTGATTGCTGGGACAAAGGTGTGCACCATTACTTCTGACTAATAATTTTTTTTTTTAACAAAAAGGAATAGAGGATATTGTTTTTGTAATGTTAACTGGGGCTGATTTATGATTTTCTAAAGTCTTAGTTGATTTTGTGCTGCTGTAACAAATATCTAAGACTGATTCTTAGAGTGGAAATTTATTTCCTATATCGTGTAGGCTGGGGCATTCAAGGTGAAGGGAAGTTTGGTTGTCTGGCAAGGGCTGCATTTTGCACTGAAGAATGCTGTCTTTCCACATGGTAGAAGGCAGAAGAGCAGGTCAGCCTGCCACTGCCAAAAGCTGAGCCTCTTTCATAAGAGCTGTAATTTCAAAGAGTCAGGGAGGTACCCTATCTGCAGTGCTAATACCTGACTTTTGGAGAGGCATTATGGGAGTTGTACTCTCTTACTTTGTGGGGGCTGTAATTTGATCTGTGTCACAACATAAGGTTGTGTAGTAGGAGCTCATGGGTAGATATTCGGTGTGCTTATTTGGTCATCACTCTGCCCTAATATTTGTCAGTTGTACTTATTGGTTCTAGCACAGTAATTCTAAATATCAATAGCAAAAAGTCTTCTTTTCAGGTCCCATGAAACCATTATCAGTAGGATTAAAATTAGAATAAGGAGACTGGGGGAAAGTGGGAAAGGATGGACTTCTCAGAAGAGCCTAACTTTGTAGAGGTTGCAGACCCTGCTTGTAACAACAGTGGCTCAGTGAGTAGCTGGTAACTGAGCCTCAGTGTCCACACAGTCCAGCCAGGGAGTTGCCTGGGTAGTTTCTCAAATGCTGGTTGTTTGCTGCTGTTCATGTTTCGTAATGATTTGCTTCAGGAATATATACTGCCACACAGTATACAAACACATCTTTTCATTTGGGATGTAGTATGCTAAAACACATTTTTATACAGCATTTATATTTTTGTGGTGACCATATTTGCTTAGTAAGTCTCCAATGCATCCTGCCATCCGGTACATTTCCCATAGGAAAGCAGTGTACAGCTGTCTATATTGTGTAGACATAATGTTGAATACTGTGTGAAGATTCAAATCCTGATTCTGTCTCCCCTCTATCTGATTGTAATTGTTATTAAGTGTCTCCTGCTTCAGCGTTGTGTAAACATTGCTCCCCATTTATTCTCTGATTTGTTAATAAAAAGCGGATCAGCCAATGACTGAACATTGGAGAGAATAGGGCAGGACTTCCTCCCAGCCAGGGGATGGGTACAAGAGAGAGGAGGTGGATTACCCATGGGGAAAGTCCAAGAGACACCATGAGGAAACAGTTCTGAGCAGAGAAAGGCATGAAATGCAGGTATTTGGGAATTCTGGCTGGGAGGTAGCCAGGTTAGAGGATTAAAATAGAGTAGCACCGCGCAGCTTTTGTGCCTTTAAAGCATGTTAAGCAAATACAGTAGTCCAGTCTCAATGATTTGAGAGCTAGCTGGGCAAGAGGAAACTGTAACACACTTGTGAAAGCCACCAACGACACTGTATGACCCAGTGATTGTTTCCTCTCGCCGCTGTAGGTTTTAAGCAGTGGTCCTCAGCCTTCCTAAGGCTGCAACCCTTTAATGCAGCTCTTCACGTTGTTTGTGGTGACTCTCCACCATAAAACTACTCTCATTGCTACTTCATAACTGTAATTTTGCTGCTGTTATGACTTGTAATGTGAATATTTTTGGAGGAAGGAAAGGGGGTTGCCAAAAAGGGTGGTGACCACAGGTTGAGAACTACCGTCTTAGGGCTGCTGTCATCTGCTTTCTGTTTTTTCCTCCCTAAAGCAGCATCTTAACAGAAGTACTGTAGGAACTGGAGCTGTCTCTCTAAATGGGGAAACTGAGCTCTGGAGAGGTCCCTGGTCTACCAAGAGGCAGGTCATGATGTGCACTGAAGAGTCAGCATACCTTTGGTAAAAAGACCATACAGTCCCAGACATTCCCTCTGCATTTGCTTGCTTTGCTTTTTCTGGCTTTAAAGCTGTATGTGCCTTGGTATGGGGCCTCGCTTACCTCCATGAGACAGATTACTTTGTTTAGATGCTGAGTACACCTGACTCACTGGCTCATTAGCTTCGGGGATTCCCCTGTCTCCACCCCATAGTAGTAGTCCCCATCCTGCAGTAGAGACAGTGAGATACTCGACACTCGACACTCTTGTCATTAAGTGTGTTCTGGAGATTTGAACTCAGATGCTCATGCTGACATAGCGAATACTTTCCCACTGAGCCAATCTTCTCAGCCTTTCTTCTTTGTTTTCTGAAGTGTATTGTTGCCATAGAGAGTATTCTTCAGGTTAAAAAAGAAATGACTTTAGAAATACCGGTAGCAATAATTTTATTGATCCCACACTAGTAAAGTGCTTTGCTGAAATTACTTGGTTTTATTTTTACCCTAACTGAGACTTTATTAATGTTTGGGAAAGTGGAGTTTCCGTTAGTGCCTGTGAATGCATGTCAGGGCCTGTCAGCCCACTGTCTGACTGACTGTTCTTTCTGTGTATAGGTATGTCATTGACGGTGCCACTGCCCTTTGGTGTGCTGCGGGAGCCGGACATTTTGAAGTTGTTAAGCTTCTAGTCAGCCATGGAGCCAACGTGAACCACACCACAGTCACTAACTCAACTCCATTGCGGGCAGCATGCTTTGATGGCAGACTGGACATTGTGAAATATTTGGTTGAAAATAATGCCAATATCAGCATTGCCAACAAGTATGACAACACCTGCCTGATGATCGCGGCCTATAAGGGGCACACTGATGTGGTCAGATACCTCTTAGAACAACGTGCTGACCCCAATGCTAAAGCACACTGTGGAGCCACAGCACTGCACTTCGCAGCCGAAGCTGGTCACATTGACATTGTGAAAGAACTGATAAAATGGCGAGCTGCAATAGTGGTGAATGGCCATGGGATGACACCGTTGAAGGTAGCTGCCGAAAGCTGTAAAGCTGATGTCGTTGAACTGTTGCTCTCTCATGCTGACTGTGACCGCCGAAGTCGGATTGAAGCCTTGGAGCTCCTGGGTGCCTCCTTTGCAAATGACCGTGAGAACTATGACATCATGAAGACATACCACTATTTATATTTAGCTATGTTGGAGAGGTTTCAGGATGGTGACAACATTCTTGAAAAAGAGATTCTCCCACCCATCCATGCTTATGGGAACAGAACTGAGTGTAGGAACCCACAGGAATTGGAGGCTATTCGGCAAGACAGAGATGCTCTTCACATGGAGGGCCTTATAGTGCGGGAACGGATTTTAGGTGCTGACAACATTGATGTTTCCCACCCCATCATTTACAGAGGCGCTGTCTATGCTGATAACATGGAGTTTGAGCAGTGCATCAAACTGTGGCTTCACGCGCTCCATCTCAGACAGAAAGGTAATAGGAATACCCATAAGGATCTGCTTCGGTTTGCTCAAGTCTTCTCACAGATGATACACCTCAATGAAGCTGTGAAGGCCCCAGACATAGAATGTGTTTTGAGATGCAGTGTCTTGGAAATAGAGCAGAGCATGAAGAGAGTTAAAAACATCTCCGATGCTGATGTCCACAGTGCCATGGATAACTATGAGTGTAACCTCTATACCTTTCTATACCTTGTGTGCATCTCCACCAAGACCCAGTGTAGTGAAGAAGACCAGTGCAGAATTAACAAGCAGATCTACAACCTGATTCACCTGGACCCCAGAACCCGGGAAGGTTTCACCTTGCTCCACCTGGCTGTCAACTCCAACACACCAGTCGATGATTTCCACACCAACGATGTCTGCAGCTTTCCCAACGCGCTGGTCACAAAGCTCCTGCTGGACTGTGGCGCTGAGGTAAATGCGGTGGACAATGAGGGGAACAGTGCCCTCCACATTATCGTCCAGTACAACAGGCCCATCAGTGATTTTCTCACCTTGCACTCCATCATCATCAGCCTTGTAGAGGCTGGAGCTCACACCGACATGACAAACAAGCAGAATAAAACTCCGCTAGACAAAAGTACAACTGGGGTGTCTGAAATCCTGCTTAAAACTCAGATGAAGATGAGTCTCAAGTGCCTGGCCGCCCGAGCAGTTCGGGCCAATGACATTAACTACCAAGACCAGATTCCCCGGACTCTGGAAGAGTTTGTTGGATTTCATTAAGTGACTGGATGTGTAAAATCGTTTAATGTGGTGCTAAAAAGTAAAGGACTTTAATCACAGACAATAGAATTCTGTGTTTGTAAATTCTCCTTTTCTTTCCACTATCCTTTCAGCCCATCGTCCTTGGTTCCATGTGCCTCTTTTCTCACGTGGTATTGAGTTCAGCACACTAAACAGAGCAGCGCTGTTCAGGTGTAACTGGAAGGTGTTTGGACATTTGTTTGTTTCTTTCTTTTTTTTTTTTTTTAAAGGAATGAATGTAAGATTTTTGTGTAATAGGGGCATTTGTGATTTTAAATTGATGATGTTTAAACAGCTGCCTACAAAAGTATTTCTGTTAAGCTGATGTCAGCATGTCATCCGTGCAGCAGTTTTGAGGATTTCATGAAGAAAATGAACTAAAAAGGAACAGTGGGAGCACTGGGAGATGCTCAAGCCCTGCATGGATGGCTTTCACTGCACTGTGTGTGTGCAGTGATACAGCACATTTTACATCAGGAGGACTTGAAACACTTAGCTACTGATTAATAATCTGAAAATGATGTGCAGTTATTGTTGGGAAGTTGAATTCCTGAAAATCATTGCGTTCTGCTGGGTAGTGTCTTCTAACTGGTGATCTTAGCCCAACCTTGTGGACATTGCTAGATTCCACCCTTAGGCTTGAATTCTCCTGGTCTCTGATGTAATGATGGATCTAAATTGCATTTATGCATTTGATTTGGCTCAGACCTAAATAAGGAGCACGCTGTATTATGAAACATTGTCACAGTATAGCTAGAGATTGTACTTCGTCCTCTTCTAGCCCTTCCCTTGTGTGTTGTATCTTTAAAAACTGGAAACTGCCTTTCCAGAGGGCATTTGTGTCTCCCTAATTAGATGTAAGATGAAAAGGAATGAGGACACACTTGTGATGTTTTTACTTAGTCCATTGTAAGATGTAGGAAAACCAGGAGTAGGGTATAGGTCATGAAGTATTTGATGAGGAAAATGATTCTCAGTGTCACACGAAAGGTATATTTCAGAGCTGTAGACTTTTCTATCACAGAATGTGGTACTCAAGTCTTTGGTTTTCTTGCTTTTTTTACCAGCAACATTTTAACTCTAGAGTATTCTGAGTTTTCTCTTAAGCATCACAGAAACTCAAGTTGAAGGAGCACTAGCTTCTACTGATGCTGGAGACGAGAATGAAAGTAAACTAGTTGTTCCTGTAACTTTCTCTAGTGCCAAATGAATGCCTGAGCTACCCCTAGTGCATGGTACCATTCGTGGAGACCCGCAGCTTCTTGTTTTCCTTTAGTGCAAAGCATTGTCATGAGACAACTTCAGATACAAACTTTAAACAGCCTGTAAGATTTCACAAATATTTTACCTGTGGATATTGCTTTTAAAACATAGGAGAATGGTTGCAGTTGGAGCAGTACAAAGTGACCAAGCCCAAATCAGCACCTAGGGCCTTAAACGGAGATATCCCACAAAATGAAATACCAGGAGAGGGCAGGAAAGGAGACTGAAGGTTTTCTGCTCCAAGGGTGCAAGATGCAGTTGCTGTAGTTGTGCTTCATGTGTGTTCTTGCGTTAGTTATTTTCCTGACTTGAGAGTTTACATGGAAGGCTTTTTTTATGGCTTAAAGGGAGGTGTTGGAATACCCTAATTTGGGAACTTCTAACCTAGACTTGGTCAGAAGGTGTGTCTTAAGAAGATACTGATTCACTTTGCTCTGGCAGCTCTCAGTGGCCTGGAAGAGATGACACGCTGCACAAGGTGAGTCAGCCCTGCCTCTTCCCAGGCTCAGGTCAAGTCTTTCCCTTTCCGACTCTAAGGCGTGATGAGGACAGTGAGGAATAGCTGTGAAACTTTAGTATTCAGTTGGTTCCATTTTTTAATGAATATGATTTTTAAGCACCCAAACTTAAAGTATCTATCAGATAACACTGCATGTTTTTTTTTTGTTTTTTGTTTTTTTTTTTTTTTTGTTTTTTGTTTTGTTTTTTTTTTGAGACAGGGTTTCTCTGTGTAGCCCTGGCTGTCCTGGAACTCACTCTGTAGACCAGGCTGGCCTTGAACTCAGAAATCTACCTGCCTCTGCCTCCCAAGTGCTGGGGTTAAAGGCGTGCGCCACCACTGCCCGGCAATACTGCATGTTTTGAAAACATTTTTCCTCCTTCACTACCCAGGACCAACACTGTTTTAAGGCATTATTTATATATGAGGATAATCATATGCATATTCAGATGTAGAATTTAAGGACAGCTTTTGAAGCAGGGAAGACAGTGCTGAGGAGGGTGGAGTGAACGGAACGGTGCTGGTGGTGAACTAGCTAGATTGGTTTAGCTAGTTGTGTAGCTGCAGGTTGTGCACTCTCGCTGAGGGTCTAACTCTGTCTGGACCATCACTCCAGATTCGCATTGTGGAACACCTGTATAAAGCCATTATAGGAAGACGTGGTCCTCATGTTCCCATTATTTGTTTTTAGTAGAATTCTTTGAAAATGTGCTCAGCCAAATGTTCCATGAATTTTTTTTTTTTTAAAGAAAAATAGGTGTGAAAGGTATTGTAGCTAGCTCACTAGGCTGTCTTCTGTTGCAGCCATGTCTGTCACTTGATGTTTGTTATTGGTAGAATCATGCTTTGAATTGTAACTCTTTCTTGATAGTGTTAGTGATTTCCCCAGAACATGTCACTTGTGTAAATTGTCACATAAATTTGCATGAGCCAGGAGTGCAAGAGGGTGCTTTTCACTTTTCATGCAGATAGGAATTGAAGCCTTATACTTCAGTGACTGACCCTAATCTGGGCAGCAAAGCTATCCTCTTGCTGAAGAAAGGGTAGCTGACTCTGACACTCTGGCTTTCCACAGTCCACCGCCTGGAGGCTCTTCACTGTGGGAACTTCATACATGCAAACCCAGGGCGGCCCATCTGCCAGGCTCTGGTTTGCTAGTTTCTGAGAGGGGTTTTGATCTCATTATACTGATAGTTGCTAAGTGGTGATTTGAGGACTTAGGCATGACAGCATTGTTTGACATAAACTGTGGTTAGGGATTAACACCTCCCTAAAGGTAACACTGTTTTAGACAAACATTTCTGAAAATTCAAGTCCTAGAGAGGAGTTCTTTGTTGTAATCGAGGCATGGAGTTAAAATGAGCTCGCTTTGGATAATTGAAGCAGCAGAATGTCCTTGTTTTTGGAATATGGAAGCCAAAGGACCTGTGCTATTTGTACTCTGCTGGTTGAGAAGCAGCCAGTGGCTGAACTTGAGTAGGTGGGCTAAAGTATCTGTGCCTCATGACAGTTGTAAAAATCTGCAGTGTACTTTATCAGCTACCCAGAATTCAGTGCACACAGAAGTGCACCCTTCTCATGGCTTCATGCAACAGAAAGAAGAGTAAAACCCTCAGCTCTGCGTTCAGATTCTAAGCTGTGCGCACTCCCACTTTGAAAGTGTACAGCTCCATTCTGGATATCATCTGACAGCCCCCTCGACATGTACATACACTGAGGGGCTTTCTCTGAAGTTTCTGGCAGACCTGCCAGAGCTGGGCCAGGTATACAGCAGCCCCTTTCTCACGCCTGGGATCTAGAACTAATCCTATCGTGACAATGCTGATACATTGACTACTACAAATGTAAAGTAAATGTGGTCTCTAGTCCTAGGTTTGTAGAGTGTACCTTTGTGTTAATGTGTAGGGACGGACAGCGGTTTGATGGTTTTGGGGAGTATATCACTGATGTATGCAGGGGCAAATCCTGCTAAATTACAGCTTTACAGCTTCCCTTTAGGGGTGAAGCACGGGATGAGTAGCCTCATCAGAAAAATGAAGGCATGAAGATGCAGGCCTGCTAGGTGAGGACACGGGCAGGCTTTGCACCTGTTTCCTATCAGGTATTGTAAAATGTGTGCATGGCTTTTTTTGTTGTTGTTGCTCAGTAATCGGTAGAGGAGAAGAGATGAGGGGCCCTCACCCCGAAAGCTTTCCTAACCAGTCTTTTCAGAGGTACATAGCTGGGGAGTAAGATCTGGCCTTAACCTACTGGCAGGACCCTGCCCTTTGTAATGTTTCCCGCACCCTGCAGTCCTCGGTGCAGAGGAGCTACATAGTGTAGTCTAGTAATTCACCGTGGTTTACTGCGAGCCAGTGATGTCATTCTATCGTGCACTCTTGTCAAGCCATTTATGTGACTTTAATAAGCTTAGTAACTTTGCTGACTGCACCGGGGCCTCTCAGTGACTTATATATTGCATGATGTCTTCTACTTGAGTTTGACATGTACAATCACCTTTGATTTCATGGCAATTGACAGTCCTAATGGCTCAGCTAATTTGAAACTAACAACTTTGCTGTGTAAAAGGAAAAAATGGTGTTGTGTTCAGTAAATGTTTGAAAAAAAAGTATCTTGAAGTTTGTGTCTTTATTGTTCAATGTGAGATCTTTTGTTGAGTTCTTTTAAAAGGGTTGTTGATGTTATGTGTGTGTGTGTGGGGATCCTATAGTAAAAGCTCAAATAGTAAAGCCAAGCTCTCCATGTCCACTTCGATTCTGTAGAGACAAGAATCATAAAATGTCTTTTAGTAGCTTCCCATATGTTTTCTGTGCATGTATGTATCATTTATTTTCACTTGAAAAATGCAGATGGACTTCATGTTTATGATTTAATATGTCAAGTATGTTTTCATTCCTTATCTGTACATTGAAAAGTACATAACTCCATAGCACATCTATGGATGGTCTTAAAGTCTGTGTACTCAGATTTTTATTGGTGGGTATTTAGATGTTCAATTTTCTAAGTAGAATAGTAGTAATCGCCCACATGACTTACAGCCACGCAAGCTCATTCCTAGCCTTGGGTCTTCTGCTTTAAGTGTCTGAGTTTACAGTTCTGGCAGATTGTTAAAGTGCCCTCTGTCTTCCCTGTCTCTATATTGACAGAACCCATATATTACCTCATTTAATTTTTGCCAGACTGATTAATGAAAAATGGTTTTGTTTAGTTTTTATGTGTGTTCCTTTAACACTTTGTGTTTCCTTTGTGATTGGGCTGTGGCTAATATTAGCATCATT